ATGGTGGCCAGCTGATGGTCCAGATCGCCGTGTTGATGCCACAGCAGCCACATTCTCTGGTTGACTGTCTTGATGTCGGTTGGACTGAGGCATTCCTTGAGCTGCTCCTGCGAGAGCCCCAGACTGTCCAAGTCCTTGGCGGCGCCAGCCAGACGTTCCCTGGTTCTTTGGAGGGTTTCCAGCCGATTGGCTGTGCCGGCATGGGAGGTGGGGAGTTGGGCTTGGGACTCGTTGATGACGGCCTGCACGCCGTCGAACAGCTTCTGCATGGCCTGGACTCGGTCCTCGTGAGCGATCACCAAGTGGGAAATCCGCTCCAAGAATTGCTTCCATGTGTGCAGGCCGGCGTGGATGTTGGAGAGTCTCTGCTTAATGGCCACGTGCTCCATGCGGATGGAGGTGGCCAGGGCGTCGTCGCAAAACTGCAAGATGAGGTTCTGCTGCGCCTGCAGACTGTCCGCCTGCTGCTCCCCATGGGGGACCTTGTCCAGCAGGAACTGGATGCGGCTCATCAGCTTGGGGATGCGTCGCACGTGCAGGAACCGCAGCTGCATTTGCTCGCGCTCCTTTTCAATGCTCTTGAGCCAATCGAGCAGCGTGGTTTGGTCCACTCGGTACTGTTCCCAGGCGTCCAGCCGCTTCTGCACCTCGCCGTGTCTCTCCATGATCCGGGCTAAGGTCTCGTTGTGCAGATTGGTCAATGAGGTGAACTGCTCCATCACACTGGACTCCACCAGTCCGCCTGCCAGTTGCGGGTCTTTTCTGTCCAGAGGCCGCAAGACGTTCTGCTGAGTGGTGAGGAGGTTGTGGTGCACTTGGCACAAGTGCTGGTGCTCGGAGAGGCTCTGGTAGTCGCCCGGAATGGTGTCCTGCAGGAACTGCTGCACATTGAGCAGGTACTCCTGCCAAAGGCGCAGCGCTGCAGCACCGTCTTCGTTCTTGACCAGTCGGCTGCTCAGGCGATGGTACTGCTGGAAGGTCTCTTTGAACACCTGCTGCCAGAGCTCGAGGATCTCGATCACGGACGTCTCCGTTCTGAGTGTCGACGTTTCGAGCGTTTGCTCTTTGATCTTCTGGATCTGGCCTTCGGCCTTCCCCAGCGCGATCAAGTGCTCCCTAAGGTCCTGCAGTTTTTCTTCCGCGTCAGCGTCCAGGTTCCCTGTTTGGATCTCATCGACGCTCTGAAAACGGTAACTGTCTCAAAAACTGCTGAAAAAGTGCAGAAAAACTTAGGTGAAACCTTGGGGGGCTGGAGCCAAAAGAGTTTCACATCTTTCACCGAAAAACCAGTTTTGACTGAGTTACCTGTTGGACTGTGTCGAGGTACTGCTTGGTACCGATGATTTCCTGCTGGGAAGCCAGCTTGGCTGTCGCCTTGGCTTCGGCCACATCTGCAAGGGTGGTGAGGCTGCTGCGCACATCTTCCAGCCGCTTGCCCAGGGCTTCCACCTCGCCCCCTAAAAGCTGTTGGGCGTCCAGACCGACGGCTGACGCGATTCCGGAAACAAGCTGCTGCAGTTCCGCTAAGCGTTTGGTGTGGTTCGACAGCGTTTCTTCGCAGATCTGAAATTGAACAGGAAAACAGCTTTAATCCACTTCCCTGTCATGACTAAGAGATGCAGATTATCATTTGCGCATCATGATGTTCTGAGGCGCGTTTCTGCAGGACTATTTAAGACACCCGAATGTCAAGCCTAGTAGTTGAGAGAAGAAGCTTCGGCTGACTTGTAGTGCAAATTTGGTTCCATTCTAGAAAGTGGTTCATTCGAAATGAATTTTTGAAATTAGCAACTGTTTTGAGCAATTTTTTTGTTTGCGCATCAGGATCTTCTGAGGCTAATTTTTCAAGAGCAACTTAAGACACCCGAATGTCAGTTCCAGTAATTGAGAGAAGAGGCTTCAGCTGACTTGTAGTGCAAATTTGGTTCCATTCTAGAAAGTGGTTCCTTCGAAAAGAATTTTTGAAATTTGCAACTTTTTTGAGCAATTTTCGCTTTACGCATCAGGATCTTCTGGGGCAGGTTTCTCAAGAACAACTTAAGACACTCGAGTGTCAGTCCCAGCAATTGAAATAAGAGGTTTCCGCTAACTTGTAGTGCGAATTTGGTTTCATTCGAGAAAGCGGTTCCTGCGAAATTAATTTTTGAAAGTTGCAACTTTTTGGAGCCATTTTTTGTTTGCGCATCAGGATCTTCTGGGGCTGGTTTTTCAAGAACAACTAAAGACACTCGAATGTCAGTCCCATCAATTGAGAGAAGAGTCTTCAACTGCCTTGTAGTGCAAATTAGCTTTCTTTCTAGAAAGTGGTTCCTTCGAAATAAATTTTTTAAATTTGGAACTTTTTTGTTTGCGCATCAGGATCTTCTGAGGCTAGTTTCTCAAGAACAACTCAAGACACCCGAATGTGGGTCAGAGCAATTGAGAGAAGAGGCTTGAGCTGACTTGTAGTGCAAATTTGGTTCCATTCTAGAAAATGGTTCCTTCAAAATTAATTTTTTAAATTTGCAACTTTTTTGAGCAATTTTTTGTTTGCGCATCAGGATATTCTGAGGCTGTTTTCTCATCAACAGTTTAAGACACCCGAATCTCAGTGCCCGTACTTGAGAGAAGAGGCTTCAGCAGACTTGTAGTGCAAATTTGGGTCCATTCTAGAAAGTGGTTCATTCGAAATGAATTTTTGAAATTTGCAACTTTTTTCTTTGCACACTACGATCTTCTGAGGCTGGTTTCTCGAGAAGAGCTTAAGACACCCAACTGTCAGGCCCAGCAATTGAGAGAACAGCCTTCAGCTGACTTGTAGTGCAAATTTGGTTCCATTCTTGAAAGTGGTTCCTTTGAAATTCAGTTTTTGAAATTTGCAACTTTTTTGACCACTTTTTTGTTTGCGCATCAGAAGTTTCTCAAGAACAGTTTCAGACACCCGAATGTCGGTCAGAGCAATTGAGAGAAGAGGCTTCAGCTGACTTGTAGTGCAAATTTGCTTTCATTCTAGAAAGTGGTTCCTTCGAAACGAATTTTTGAAATTTGGAACTTTTTGGAGCAATTTTTTGTTTGCGCATCAGGATCTTCTGAGGCTGTTTTCTCATCAACAGTTTAAGACACCCGAATGTCAGTCCCAGCAATTGAGAGAAGAGGCTTCAGCTGACTTGTAGTGCAAATTCGGTTCCACTTTTGAAAGTGGTTCCTTCGAAATTAATTTTTGAAAGTTGCAACTTTTTTGGGCAATTTTTTGTTTGCGCATCAGGATCTTCTGAAGCTGGTTTCTCAAGAACAACTTAAGACACCTAAATGTCAGTCCCAGCAACTGAGAGAAGAGGCTTCGGCTGACTTGTTGTGTAAATTTGGTTCCATTCTAGAAAGTGGTTCCTTCGAAAAGAATTTTTGAAATTTGCAACTTTTTTGAGCAATTTTCGCTTTGCGCATCAGGATCTTCTGGGGCAGGTTTCTCAAGAACAACTTAAGACACTCGAGTGTCAGTCCCAGCAATTGAAAGAAGAGGCTTCCGCTAACTTGTAGTGCAAATTTGGTTGCATTCGAGAAAGCGGTTCCCTCGAAATAAATTTTTGAAATTTAGAACTTTTTTGAGCAATTTTCTCTTTGTGCTTCAGAATCTTCTGCGGCTGTTTTCTCACCAACCGTTTAAGACACCCGAATTGTCAGCCCCAGCAATGAAGAGAAAAAACACTAGTTGGAAAACACCCAGTACATCATGCGGGATTTCTGGATTCAAATTGCGTCTGGGGGGTTAATGAAAGTGAATTGTTTCGCGTGTCGATGGACATTATCGGCTGTTTCGATTTCCATTCGGATTAATTGAAATCACGACATAATAAGGGCCAAGGTTAATTGGAGGGTTTCAGGGCCCAACCAGTGCACTTTTCCCCCTTAAATCCTCCAAGAGAAACATTCAACCACTAATTCGTATCACGTCCTGTCAGCCTATCAGTGTTGCGGGAACACGCAAATGAGGCCAGAATGTACAATATGAGCTTGAAAAGGAGCGCATTTAACTGTAGAGTTTAGAAGTCCCTTAAGTGGAATTATTTTTATGCGATATCCATTGAGGGTTGCGTGCTCGGTCGAACTTAGCAACATTTAAATCCAACATGAAACCGCCTTCTCACTTTTGAGCCGAACTCTCGATTCCCGCACTGGAAACGATCGAAAATATTCCCCAGCTTAACTAATATCGAAAGCCCACTTTGCGGAAAATCACTCTGAAACCTTTGGATCCTTAGGAGAGCACATCAAAACTGCAGGATTTTTCGAACTAACTGTTCCAAAGCACTTCTCGCGGCGTCACTAACATGCGGAAATATTCGGCTGGCAAAACCGATGAAAGTTTATTAATAACGATTTGCACAACACCGAATTGTTCTGCCGAAAATCGCTGCTATTTTTAACGTTCCTGCTGAAATAAGGCCACCTATCGAAACAGCACACTATCATCGTTGCTCTCAGAGTGGGGTCTTTTCAGAGCAACTATTGGAGAAGTTTCGGAGCAATTTAGGCAACAGGATTCCTGCTGTGTAAGTTGTTCAAGAGTTAACTGGCAATGGCCCTGTTAAAGGAGCTCAGCTGAAGCTCTCTAATGCCCAACCGGTTCACACGCAAGAGGGTGAAAATTTAGGGGAGGCTTTAAAGGGATTCTGCATACAACTGTGTTATCTGAGTTAGCTCGAAAAGGGCCAAGAGCACAGTTTTGCTGAAGAAACTGAACTTTGAATTAAGCCATTTTAAATCAATTAGGCCGCAACTGTGTTTGCTTGCAGACCATTAAGACTCAATCATCTCAAAGCTGAATTTGACGATCTTCCCTATCTTATCTGGTACATTTCCATATCAAAGCACACAACAACATGTTTACTCCCAAGCGGAAAACGGCCAATTTCCCCAACATGAACGCACTTATCAGACTATGAAGGCTTTGGTCTATCGGAATTTCTTCCTGACGTTTCGGCCACAACTGCGCTGGACATTTTCAAAGGCGATGAGGCAGTGGGCGAAGTGATCTCCCGTGCTTTCCGTTTTAGTCAAAAAGATTTGCCATTTTGCCAAACCGATTTAGCGTCAAATACGATGCAAAAGAACAAAACGCGAACAGTTACCGCACTATTTAAACAAACGATCAAAAGTGCGGTGCGCTAACTGACTTTTTTCAAAAACTTCGAAAATAAACACCATTTTGGCAATCAAAATTTGCAGAAAACTGGTGGGGAAACAGTGAACGAAACAGTTAAATTTTTAACAAAAATCCACGAAATTTCAGAGAATGAAAGAAATTT